TGCTCGGGGCGGGGTCCCCGGGGGTGGCGGGAGACCCGCACACACCGATGTGTTTTTCAGGCTGTCAGGTCTGGAACTCAAACCACACAGTCAGCCATTGGGATCTAACCACCTTAACCACCATGCCATTGATTGGCCCCAAAATAAGCTTTGGAAGATATGTATAAAATACTTGAACTTTCTGGACTGCACGTGTCTGGACAGACAAACCTAGGCCTTTGATTTTGTAAATAGTAAGATAGTAATGATTAAAGAAAATGAAATTAAGACACCTATTGGACTAGAAAGTAGTAGTATTAAAATTCTTATTGATGATCTCAATATATTGTCTCTGACACTGGCTAAGATAAAGCAGTTGAATTCCGTGTGTTTGTGTGTGTGTGTGTGTGTGTGTGTAGAACTATATGATAATGTGTGTGTGTGTGTGTGTGTGTGTGTGTGTGTGTGTGTGTAGAACTATATGATAATGTATATTCCTTCCCTATCCCAGAATGCTTGAAGAATCTTTTCTGGCTCCTCTTCAACCACTTTCTTCTAATACACCTATATGGGCCTGCCGTCTTAGGAGCTGTGAGGTGAGTTAAAAATAAACCTTACCAGGGCCCGTGGATGGCATAGTGGATAAGGGCATTGAATTCCCACATGGCCAACTGTGGTTCGAGTTCCAGACTTGGCAGCTTGCTTTCTCACTTTCCCTTTCTCTCTGTCTCTCTCTAACCAAATCAAAAATAATAACTAATGGAATTAAATAAATAGTTCTATAAACAAGAAAACAAACCTTACCTAAAATCACTTAACTAGTTATAAAGACAGTTCATCCCAAAATGCCTCCTCTTGAGTACTACTCATATAGGCTGTATCTGTAATATTTTTGTTGCTCTTTATACTAATTCTGGTCTCATCTATTCTTTTTTCGTTTGTTTTGTAGAGGGCATGTTCGCTCACCAGAGTGAGACAGCAAAAGAGAGAAAGAGAAGAAAGCACGCCCCATGGGGAATGGTCACACTGTGTTTCTTTCTACTCTCTCACTCCCTTCTTTTGGGGTTTTGGGCATGTACACACATGCACATTGTGTGTTTCCCAAGCCCCTGGGTCCTGAACTCTAACACTATTGTCTGCCATGTGGTATCCAGCTGTCTCAGCTACAAGTCATAGATCCAGTTCTGTCTCATCTATTCTGGGTTTTCCTTTTTTAGGTTTTTGCCATAGGGCACATGCACTCTTGAGACAGAGACAGAGAGAGGGAAAGTGAGATATCACTTCCCAGAGGGATGGCCACATTACAGTCCCTTCTTCTCCATTCTCTAGGGATTGGGGGCATTCATGCGCATGTGCTGGTTATGATTTTCAAGCTGTCAGGTCCAGGACTTGAACCATGGTCAGCCATGTGGGAGTCCAATAACTTAATTACCATGCTACCTGCTGGCCTTGATTCTGTTTTTGTTTTTAATTTGCTATGGGGCACATGCGGGAGAGAGAGGCAAAGAGGTGGGGGGTGAAAAAGCACTCTACATGGGCCACGATCACTCCACAATCCCTTCTCTTCTATCTCTCCTCATTTTCAGTATTTTGGGCATGCACACCCATATTCCTGGAATGTTTTTCAAACCTCTCAGAAGAGGACTTGAACCACATAGTTAGCTAGCTGAATGGAATACAGCTGCTTTAACCATCATTCTACCTATTGGCCCCCTCATCTATCCTTTTACTCTTTAGAGGTTGTAAACTCTGTTAAAGCAGAGATTATATAAATTCTCTCACATTTCATTATCATTTTTTGCAACTCTCTTCCCTTGCCTTTCATCAAACAATCATGTTTCTGTACTTTAGACAATTATTTCATTTAACTTCATTTATTTTAATTTGACCAGAGAAGGACAGAGTGAAAAAGAGAGAGAGGAGAGAGAGGGAAAGCGCAAGAGCAAGCCATCAGGTCCCCAACTTGAACCATGTCCAGCCATGTGGGAGTCCAGTGCACTTAAGCACCATGCCACCTGCCAGCCCCTCTCTACTTTTTTTCCTGTTGTTTCTTTACATTTTATCTCTAGGAGAGCTTATTTGACTTTCAACTTCTAGTTTATAAAAATGATTCCCAGGGCCTGCAGGTGGCATGGTGGTTAAGGGCACTGGACTCCCACATGGCTGACCGTAGTTCAAGTCCCAGACCTGGCAGCTTGGTTTCTCGCTTCTTTCCCTCTCTCTCTCACTCTGTCCCTCTCTGATCAAATTAAAAGAAGGAAAAAAAAAGGGGGAGAGAGAATGAGAGTT